ATTCCGAGCGGGTCGCCGTTCGGAAGAGGGCTTGCGGCGTCATCGCCGTACTCGGCCGCTCGCCTGCTCTCCTCGTCGTCCAGCACTGTGCGAATCCGATCGGTGCCCGCCCAGTATGCGGGTGGAGGCCACCGAGGGAGGTCCTCGCCGTAGCCGCACTTGGGCAGATGGAGAGGGTTGCAGCGTACGAGGCGCCACGCGGTGAGAACCAGAGCCTGCAGCGGCGGATACTGCCTGAAGGCCAGCTGTCCATACTCGGAGCACGTGGGTATGAAGCGGCAGCCTGGCGGGATCAGTGGCGAGATGAACCTCTTGTAGAATTTGAGCGCCGCCACCGAGGCGCCCGACACCGCGCCGCCTGCGTCCTGGGAGCTCGATGTGAACAGCGGGACTCTGCCACCACACCCGCACGCGCAGGTGAACGGCAACGGGAGCTCCCAAACAGACGCCGCGGTTGCAGCCGTCGCTCCTGACTGCCGGACGCCGAAGAGCGAGGGAGCGGCAGGGCACCTGGCAGGCGGAGCGAAGGAGTACGCCAAGAGAGCAGAGAGCTGGAACATGTATCCAGAGCAGAAGAAATTCAGGATCCGAGTATACTGGCCTTGTGGCGCGAGTCAGTGTGAAAGCCCTGCCAAGAGCCGAAAGAAGAATTCAGCCGGGTTTTCGCTTGCGCGCCAGCCTGCGACACGACGTGTGCCGGGGTTCTCGTGCTGCTGCTCGCGTGGCCGCTGTCCGTGCTGCCGCTGCGCATGCGCCCGCCGTCAGCAAGCGCTAAGCGGGCACGAGGGACGCCGCCACCCGTGCGCGTGCTCAGCGAGGGAGAGGCGCTTGCCAAGCCGTCGACTGATGATCGGAGCTACAGGCTGGTCGAGCTGCCAAATGCGATGCGCGTGCTGCTGATATCCGACCCACAGATGTCGGCGGAGGAGGACACCGGCGACGGCCACGGCGATGAGGACGAGGGCGAGGGCGACAGTGAGGAGGGCGAGGAGGGCGAGGAGGGCGAGGAGGAGGGCGAGGGCGCGGACTCGGAGGGCGAGGGCGCGGACTCGGTGAAGAAGGCGTCCTTCGCC